CGGCTCAAGGAAAGGTGTTCCCGCACACTCTGCCAACCGCCTGCAAAGATGGGCCCTGATTATGCTGGGTTATGACTTCGATATTCAATATCGGCGCACCACCGACTTTGGTCAGGCCGATGCATTATCTCGGCTGGTCAACAACCAGCCAACACCCGAAGAAGACACGGTTATTGCGCATGTTGCATTTGAGGACCCAGCCGACCCACAGTTGGTTCAGTCCGTTCGTGCCCTGCCCGTGACAGTAACAGAGGTTCAAAGAGCTACCACAGCTGATGGAACGCTTCAAAAGGTGATCCGATTCATGAATTCTCGGTGGCCTTCGAATCTCAAAGATGATTCCCTTCGACAGCTCTTTCATCGCCGAGATGCATTAGCGATCGTAAAAGATTGTTTAATGTTTGGAGCTCGCGTGGTGATTCCGCAACCTTTACGCCATCGAGTTCTTCGTCAGTTCCATTCTGGACACCCGTATGAAGTCAATAGCTCGCAGTTACGCATACTGGCCGCACATGGACCAGCACATCACTGATTTTGTAAAACGCTGCTCCCGATGTCAACAAGCTTCAAAGAATCCGCCACACCAACCACCGGTTCCCTGGCCTCGACCTGAAAGGCCCTGGTCTCGGATCCACATTGATCACGCAGGACCGATACGTGGCACTTTTTGTTTGGTTTTGATTGACGCTTTTTCCAAGTGGCCAGAAATCGTTCCGGTGTCATCTCCAACAACATCTAGTACGCTGAGAGTGTTATCCAACATTTTCAGTCAGCATGGATTACCGGAGTCCATAGTCTCATTGTTACTAACAATATTCTCAACTAACAATAGTCTCAGACAATGGTTCGCAGTTCACCTCCGCCGAGTTCCGCGACTTCTGCACTCGACATGCGATAACACACGTTCGTTCACCACCGTACCACCCACAATCTAACGGTCAAGCAGAAAGGTTCGTCGACACATTCAAGGGGGCTTTGCTTAAAGCTCGAGGGGAGGAGACATCCGTCGAAGCCCTTCAGAGATTCCTGTTTGTGTACCGAACGACCCCGAATGACGCTTTGGCAAACCACCAGTCACCTGCAGAGGCACTCATGGGCCGTAAACTTAGAACTGTGTATTCTTCCATGTTGCCAACACAACCTACTGAGTCAAGGTTCATACCGGTGGCAGTTGGAACCCCGTTCAAGGTGGGAACGCCCGTGCTTGTCCGTGACTATCGCCCAGGACATGATTCATGGATTGCAGGTCGTATCCTGCGCAAACGCGGTAGTGTAATGTACGACGTGTCGGTTGGTCAAGACACCTGGACCAGACATCAAAACCAACTCCGCTTTAACAGCACGTCGGAAACTCAAGTATGTTCGGGTACCATACCGTTGGACATATTGCTCGTTACTTTTGAGCTGAAAACTGAGACAGCTTCGAAAGAGGAGAGTGTGACCGGCAGCTCAGTATTTGATCCAACACTTCTTCCCAGGCGGTGGACAGACCGACGCCGCCGCCAGCCGGAGCGTCTCCAGGTCGACCCTCGTCGAGTACGTTACTGACTTTTCACAAGGGGAGGTGTTGAGGATATCAATATCCCCCAGAAAACGCTGTGTTTTTATGTGTGCTAGCGAACTCCCGGCATCTTCAAGGTCAAACTATGAAAAATCAATGGCCTATTGATACTCCAAGGAAATTTAAATCCGACCATGTACAGGATACCATTCTTCCCACTGACTTGGGTTCGGAAGCTCCGGGCATGGCCTGTTGATCGTGTGTTGTTGGATTATTAAAGTTTGTGTCCGAGGTTTTCGTCTTCTTACTATTCGCCGCGCTAGGAGTCTGGATCAAGCAACATAGCTGGGGATAGAGTATTGCCACAATCCGCATTATCATATTGTTTGCTCGCTGCGTGACAGAACCGTAACAGTACTGCATATGCCGAATCATCGTTTACCGAAGAGAGTACTGTTTTCCATGCTCAATTCGAAGTGGCAGAAGCAGAGAGGTGACGAACCCTTGACCTGGCAGACGGGTATGAAAGAGATTACCAAACATTTGAGTGCTGTCAGTGCTATTTATCTACCAGGATGGGGAGCGCGTACTCCTCACTGCACTTGGTTGCTGCTGCTGCAGTTGATAGCTATTAATCTATGTCGATGGAGTTCGCGTTGTCAGATTGTCTGAATGAGTGTCTGGAGGTGTAGACACCTGAAAATGATTGTAGCGTGGTAGCACTAAGTCCCTTCCCTGTCTGCCCTTACTCTTTTCATGATAGAACATTCAACTGAATCATGGTTGGTCGGCAGCGGGGCATCAGTGCTGAACACTGATGTCATGCTGTTCGTGATGATGTGGGGTTTATTTGGTAAGAATGAAGATATCCGATTAACACTCCGATAATCTTTGCCTTTTCATTGTATCTGTTATGTCTCAACAGACTGTGGCTCTAATCACCCAAAAGCAGCATTCACGCGACTTTCGGTTCTTTTTTGGGAACATTTGTGAGCCAACCTCAAATGCAGGTAGATCACATCGTCATTAGCTATAAAAACGAACCGTTCAGCCGTAGCACCCTTATGGTGCCTAACTGTTGTGTACGACGAGGGTCGGAGTACAGAGCAAAAACATTCACCCCCCGCAGAGATGAAAGTTCTCAAGAGTTTAATTTATAATTGAATAATGTCAGGCCTCTCTGTTGTGCAGTGCAGGAGGCCGTGTCCGCTGTTGTTGTATAACCAATGGGTGTTCAGTAGAATTCGACATTTCAGTTTCCGAAGCAGAGTCAGATAGTTCCGGTTTAATAAATGAATCAGCGTTGGACAGCGGTTGCTGCTGTTCGGATGCTGGAGCACATCCGAAATCTGCTGAAGG